CCGGCGGGCGTTGTCAGTACCAGATCCAGACCGGTCCTCGCCGCGGTTTCGTTTGCGGTAAGATCGGTCACTCCACTCCCCGCTGCTTTCGTCGCCTGGACGACCTCTTTCGTCAGCGTTTCGGCCCGTCGCCAGACCTCCCGGACTGGCACAGTTTGCTTAGTCGTCAGGTTCAGATCTTTGATATGGACATGGATGCCATTGTTTCTGCTCTGCATGTGATGTATGCTGATGACTCTAGTGTGCTTCCGACTTATTACTCACTGTTGCCTAGTGTAGGTGTGCCTAGCTTAGCCCCCCCTGCTGCGTCAGGCGTAGGATCCCCTGCTTTGTGTAGTCTTGGTGCTTCTGCCGTCGTTCCGTCGCCAGACCCCTCGGCTTCGCTTTCCTTCACCTTGGACTCTGGCGCCTCTCGGTGTTTCTTCCGCGACTCCACCACCTTTACGCCGCTTCCTGTTCCTGCTGCCGTTTCTCTTGCTGACCCCTCCGGCGGTCCGGTAGTCGCCCGCAGTTCCACCACCCTTCCCTGTCCGGCGGTTCCTTCGGGCTCTCTTACAGGTCTGCATATCCCCTCGTTCTCCAGGAACCTAGTTGGTGTCGGCTGCCTCCAGGACCTTGGCGTCACCACTACGTTCCCTGGTCACGAGCGGTATGCTGTCTGTACCGAGGCCGCCACTGGTGCCCCCCTGTCCACGTTCCCCCGGGACCCGGTGTCCGGCCTGTTCACTCTGGACACCGTGCCCCCCCCGGCTGGAGCGCCCCCTCAGGTGGCTGTGTCTACCCCGGTTGCTGCTGCGTGCTCCTGTCGCTCCCTCACTCACCCGACCCTCCTGTGGCACCACCGCCTAGGTCACCCTGCGCTCCCGCGTCTGCGTCACATGTCCCAGCACGGTCTTGTCCTTGGTCTCCCAGGTTCACTCCCCGCGTTTCCCTCCTCCCCAGCTCCACCTTGCACGCCTTGTGTCGAGGGTCGGCTTCGCCGTGCCCCTCACTCCTCCTCGTTCCCCCCTACCGTCGCGCCGCTGCAGACCCTGCACCTGGACGTCTGGGGCCCCGCCCCCGTCCCTGGGCCGCGTCGCGAGCGCTACTTCCTTGTGCTTGTCGACGACTTCACTCGTTACACCACAGTCTTTCCCCTGGAGCGCAAGGCCGACGTGCCTGGCGCCCTCATCCCCTGGCTTGTCTCTGCGCGTGTCCACCGCGGTCTCCCTGTCTTGCGTCTTCACTCAGACCGTGGTGGCGAGTTTGCCTCAGGTGTCCTTGGTCGCTTTTGTCGTGCGGAGGGCATCACCCAGACGTTCACCCTACCGGACTCCCCACAGCAGAATGGGGTCGCTGAGCGACGCATCGGCTTGGTCATGGAGGTCGCTCGCACCTCCATGGTCCATGCCGGTGCACCCCATTTTCTGTGGCCGTTCGCTGTGCGCTACGCTTCTCACCAGCTTAACCTGTGGCCGCACCCTCAGCAGCCGCAGGTTTTGCCGACCCGTCTGTGGACTGGGTCTCCTGGTGCCGCGTCTGCGTTCCACGTCTGGGGCTGCCTTGCTCACGTCCGTGCCTCCGGCACGGACAAGCTCACTGCCCGCACCCTTCCCTGCGTCTTCCTCGGTTTTCCCCTTGACGCGTCCGACTGGCACTTTTACCACCCGCCGTCTCACCGCTTCTTTCACTCTCGTGACGTCACCTTTGACGAGTCCGTCTCCTACTACCGCCGCTTTCCCCACCGTGGTCCCCCGGTTACCCCCCCCCTGTTCCTGGTCACCCGTTCCCCGGTAGTCCCTGCCCCTCCTCCTCCTCCTCCCCGTCCCGCCCCCTCTGGTGTGTCCCACGTCACCCCCCTTCCGTCCGTGGACTTGGTTGAGGAGTAATCTGACTCTGGTGGCCCTCCGGTGCAGTCCTCGCCGGCCGCCCCTCCCCAGGTGTCCCCTCCCCAGTCCCCTCCTCCGCCGTCCCTGCCGCCACTGCAGCCGTCGCCGTCGCCGCCGCCGCCGCAGTCGCAGCCCCCGTTCGCTGACTCTGGGGGTGCTCGTCCCGGTTGCCCTGAGGGTGGTCCCTCTGGGGGTGCGGGTGTGGAGCGTGCTGGTGGTAGCCGAGGAGCAGCTTGCGGTCCAGGTGTCGCCGTTGTGCCGCCGCAGCAGCAGTCCCCGCCGGTGTCCGCCCTTCGCCTGCTCGGCCTTCCGTCCCCCGACCCTGCGTCGGTTCCTCCCCGACCGTCTCCTCCTCTTCCTGTCTACGGCCCTGTTTTCCCTCCGCCGGACTCGTCCCCGGCCCGTCTCCCCCCTCGTTCACCTCCTGTGTCCCCTCCCCTGTCTCCTGACCCGACTCCTCCATCGCACGTCTGGTCTCACCGTCCCTCCCGTGCTCGTCCTGCCTCGCCTGTCCTGCGCTCCCACCCTATGTTGCTTCGTTCACACGCGTCTCGTCCTCCCCTTCTGCCGTCGCCTCCTCCGTCCTCCCTTGTTGTTGCGCCCCCCCCGCTGTCCGACTACCTTCGTGCCGCTCGTCCCCTCGTTCCTCGGGTCCTTGCCTCTCTCGTTACCGACCCGTCTGTTCCAGTCTCATGCCTTGACGCTCTTGTCGCTGCTGTGGCTGACTTCGCCTCTACCCGCCGCCTTGACTACGCCACCGCTCTGGTCTCTGACCCTGCCTATCCTCCGTCTGTCGGGGGTGCTCCTGCCCTTGGCAGTGACGTCCTGGAGGACCGCCAGTTCGAACTTGCTTTCCTGTCCGAGGCTGCTCCCCATCTCTGTTCCATGCTGCTAGTCCATGAGGGTGACCCAGACGCTTTTGACATCCCGACCCCTCGCACTTACGCTGAGGCGACTTCGGGACCCTGGGCCTCGCAGTGGATAGCTGCCATGGAGCAGGAGATGGCATCTTGGAGATCCACCGGCACCTTCGTCGACGCAGTTCCCCCACCTGGGGTGAACGTAGTCGATGGCCGCTGGCTCTTCAAGGTGAAGCGCCCTCCTGGAGAGCCGCCTGTCTTCAAGGCGCGCTATGTGGCTAGAGGCTTCAGTCAGCGCGAGGGGGTGGACTTCTTCCAGACTTTCGCTCCGACCCCGAAGATGACTACTCTTCGGGTTCTGTTACACCTAGCTGCTCAGCGTGACTACGAGCTTCACTCTCTCGACTTCTCCACTGCCTTCCTTCAGGACAGCCTACACGAGCAGGTCTACCTGCGCCGCCCTCCGGGCTTTACTGGCACCTTCCCTCTTGGGACCCAGTGGCTCCTGCGGCGTCCCGTCTACGGCCTGCGCCAGGCTCCCCGTGAGTGGCACGACACTCTGCGTGCTACGCTTGCTGACCTGCAGTTCTTTCCGTCTTCTGCAGACCCTTCACTCTTCGTTCGTGCTGGCCAGACTCCGTTCTACATCCTCGTCTACGTCGACGACCTGGTCTTTGCCACAGCAGACAGGGACGCGCTGGCCTCCGTGAAGGCAGAGCTGCTGAAGAGACACACCTGCATTGACCTTGGAGAACTGCGCCGTTACCTTGGCTTGCAGATCTCCAGGGACAGAGCTGCGCGCACCATCACCCTGACTCAGTCACACTTGGTGCGCCAGGTCCTTCAGAGGTTCAGCCTTCAGTTCTCCTCTGCACAGCCCACCCCTCTGCCTGTAGACCACAGGCTCTCCGCTCCAGTGCCTGAGGAGTTGGTAGAGCCGAGCGGCCCCTACGCAGAGCTGGTGGGTTGCCTCATGTACCTGATGACTTGCACTCGCCCAGATCTCGCATACCCTCTCAGCATCCTGGCTCGCTTTGTGGCCACAGGCAGACACCGACCGCAGCACTGGTCTGCCGCTAAGAGGGTTTTGCGTTATCTTGCAAGTACATCGGGCATGGGGTTAGTGCTAGGAGGACGCAGGCCAGCGGTCCTTACTGGGCACACAGATGCTTCGTGGGCAGACGACGCTGAGACACTCCGGTCTACCCAGGGCTACTGCTTCAGCCTTGGCTCAGGTGCCGTCTCGTGGAGAGCTACTCGCTCCTCGTCTGTTGCACAGTCCAGCTGTGAGGCTGAGATCTACGCTGGTGCCATGGCGGCACAGGAGCTCCGCTGGCTGACCTTCTTGCTCACTGACTTAGGTGAGCGACCTAGCTCTGCCCCGGTCCTGTTCGCTGACAACCGGGCCATGATCCTCCTGTGTCAGGAGCCTCGACTCGAGGGCAGAGCGAAGCACATTCAGCTGCGGTACTTCCTCCTGCGTGAGCTACAGCAGCGACGTCAGGCTCGCGTAGTACACTTGGCCTCAGGTGCCAATACGGCTGATATCTTTACGAAGGCGCTTGCGCCTAAAGATCATCAGCGGCACTGTGTACAGCTTGGTCTAGTTCCTGTAGCCTCTCACTTGCTAGGACCTTGACTTTGTACTGTCCTTTATATGTATACTCAGACTGGACTTGTGTCCTCTCCCAGTGGCTGGACTAGTAGTGCCGCCCTGCTCTTTGCTTGCCTTGTCTGTACTCCTTCTGACTGGTCGCTCAGACCCTTGTCTCAGAGGTTGGACTAGTAGTGCCGCCCTGAGCTGTTTGTTTAGGACTTTCCCCTATGCAGTCTAGGGGGTGTGTCAAACATGTCTATTTGTTATGTTTGTATAGACTGTATAGGGTAGCCTCTTAGAGGGTACAACACTTAGCTATATTGTGTGTACTCTCCCCCTATCACTATCATTCAATTTTCTGATAGTCTCAACAATAATCGCGCTGGAAGTCCAGTCGGCAACTTGCCAGGCTGGAAACTCGTCGTTCTGATACGAATCGTGCTGGAGCGAAGTGTCAGAGATGGTGAGTTCCGCTTCTGGCGGGCACGAAGCGAGAAACCTCGGTATTACCGTAGCTGGATCTGCTTCGACTTTTTGCAGAGTGTTTCAAGAGAAATTACGGGGGGGCTTATAGGAAACAGGTTTAGAGAAATGAAGGGGGGGCTATAATCGAATAATGCTTATAATGCAATAATGCTTGAGTTAGAGCCCATGGGACTAGTCCTAAGGAGGGGCGTCTATCCGGGTGATTACGGTATTACAAGAATCAGGGTCCGGCTCCGATACGACGCTGGAAAAACAGGCCACACTACACGAGGCACGCTGATCGATCAGAGTTCACTCATAAAAAAAACCCTGAAATTTCAGGCCTCTGACTTAAAAAAATCCAGTCTCATCAGGGTCACCCCCCAAAAAAGCCCCGATTTTACCTTAATCAGGGTAAAAAGCCTGCAATCTGAGGCCCACAATTCCATCTAGTATTCTACAATTTATGACTCTCCAGCTTGCGGAGTCCGTGCATTCTTAGGGTGCGGCTCAGCACCTGGCTCTCTAATTTTTGCAGCGAAGTCTTCGAACAAAGATCCGTCAATCTCGCTGATCGAGTGAAACCTCCGGTGACCTCTCACCACCGTTGGTTGCGCAACTGGGGATTTCGACGGGCTATCGGCAGACCAGTGCTTGAAGCTGCTGACGTGGGCCAAAACGGGTTCTCCACGCGGCGGCGGCTGCAGATGCGTGCTCTCTAGGCAGCTACTACTATCCTCGATCTCGGTGCTGCTAGTAATATGATGAACTCCCGAGCCGCGGCTTCCGCCCTTCACAGACCACCGGCCGCTGCTGCTCCAGAGTGAGGTCGCATCACATCCGCTCCGGGATCTACGGTGATGGGGAGGCCTCTCAGAGACGCCAATGGATTGGGTCGCATCAGAGCTGGCGAGGGTGGTAGTAGTAGTAGTAGTACTCGTGACAGGAGATTCCGTCGCAACGGTCGCGTAACAGGCGGTAGTTGCGTCGACGGAAGCTGACGTTGCCGTTGCGAAGGCGAACGGCTCCATGACGTCACTGACGTGCGACGAAGATTGTCGCGCGAATGCCGACTGCGTCATGAAAATCAGTTGGAGATGATTTTGTAGGAGCTCTCGGCTCGACGGCTTTCACACTGCAGCACACCCCGTCACCAAGAAGCGTCACGACTTTGACGCGGAAAGGAACACTTGACTCACAGTTTCTTTAACACTCTAGCAAGCTTACGGCTAAACGGATCATGTAAGGATGACGCTGCGGCGGACACTATGTATGAGCGTCACTCGACTAGAAGTCGGAAAAGTGACCATCGACCCTAAATGATCAGAACCACACAACAATGTTTACTGTGTACTACTACGCAGTGAAGGGTGTTTAGTAGCTAAGAACCGTCGGGCTGCTTGAACACACTGCAGGGGAGGGGAGCGGGAAGGGGAGAGGCTCCCAAGGGAACATCATCCACAATGGATGGTGCACACTGCACAGACAGAGGAAGGCCCTTCCCGGGATTCGCGGGATTCCGCCATGGCCCTCATGTGCCATGAGGTAGATGCAAGGAGATTCGCCCCGCCACTGGTGAAATGACGACGAGACCCGCGGATCGCAGAGTAGGCACTGGCTGCGTGAGTGCTGGAGGCTGGCTGTATTCAGCCGAGCTCAGGACAGGACCAAGGGCGGGAGGTGGGTGCTATGGCTACATGTGGCGGCATGCACAACTGTTGCAGGATTGAAAACTCCCCTAGTCGCTCTGCTCCAGTCGGTGAAGTGGTGAAGGGGCTAGAGTGTCTATCTACGTATTGTACCAGTTCACAGAGGCCCCGGAATGGTAGCTCTTTAGTGACTTCCCCAAAATGCCCTGAATTATAGCTTGGCTCGGAGTAAGCTTCTTACTTACCGCTTCACTTCTGAGCTGCAAATCTCGGATTATCGGGATTACTGAGAAATTACCCAGAGCTCCCTCCATATCAACCATCCCGTCCCGTCTGCCCTCCTCCCCCCGGCATTACAGGGTCTTGGGAAAGGGTGGGTTGCAAGATCGCAGAACAGACCAAATCCCACTAGCTGGATGAAAGGGGTTGGTAGGGATACTCGAAGTACCAGTGTGGTTGAGTACGGTGACAAGTTGCGCCAGGCTGGTTCGGATAACGGGTTGCGTTATGTACAGCAAACAGAGGAATCGCGCTGCCGACATCTCTGGTCCGACAGTTCTTGCCAGCCTCCCGCCCCCTGGCCCCAGGATTCTCCAGATTCTCCTCTATCCCCGTCAGAAAGAAACCCACTTCTCTGTACCAGTGCGCTGGTGCCGACTGGAAATGCGATGTCCATAGTCTGCCCATGACATCTAGACCAGACTCAAGTCTCAGGGTCAGAAACTTCTTCCGTTATAGAGATAATTTTGCATCACACTATAGCGAGTCGCGAAGATGGGCATGTCGGGAGGGATCGCCCACCTAGCGAGTTGGGAAAGTATATCGGCGCTCGGAATTAAGTTCCTCGATAACATATACGGTCAATGGTGAAATAATTTGTTAGGTGTCGCAGGAGACTAAGTATAGAATCTGCAAACACGAACACTTGGAAAACCTCAAGTGTAAGCCTAGGATCTTTGCTGGAATGGTAGACAAATAAAACAGCGGAAGTCTTGTAAAAGCATAATAGTCAAGGCTGAATAACCTGAGCTCATGAACTTGTGGGTAATCAAAGTTAATAATGAAAAGGCATAACATATACTTATTGTTAAAGTGAGAATGAATGATAGGCTAGAAGTGGAAACCTAGAGGAAATACTAGGTGGTTGTACTCACTAGAAGCATACCTCAGTCTAGTCTATAATTTCTACATAGCTAATATGTATAAGTTGACACACCCCCTAGGCTAGACAAGGGGTGAAGCTAAACAAGAAGCAAACAGCTCAGGGCGGCACTACTAGTCCAACCACTGAGGCAGGGGTCTGGAGACCAGCCAGCAAGAATACAACCAAAACCAAAGCATGCCAAGGCGGCACTACTAGTCCAGCCACTAGAGGTAAGGCCACAAGGCCAGTCTGACAGGCATATATAATAGAGAGTACACAATCAGGATCCTAACAAGGGAGCAGCTACAGGAACAAGACCAAGCTGTACACAGTGCCGCTGATGATCTTTAGGCGCAAGCGCCTTAGTAAAGATATCAGCTGTGTTGGCACCGGAGGCCAAGTGAACTACGCGGGCCTGGCGGCGCTGCTGTAGCTCGCGCAGGAGGAAGTACCGCAGATGGATATGCTTCGCTCTGCCCTCAAGCCGAGGCTCTTGACACAGGAGTATCATGAACAGCAGCGACAGCAGCGACAAGCGCGTCAAGGCGCGAGACAGGAACAGCAGGGTCGGTAACAAGAGAGGCAAGGACCCGAGGGACAAGGGGACGAGCGGTACGGAGGTAGTCAGAGAACGGAGGAGGTGAAACAGCAAGGGACGAGGGAGGAGGGGACGGGAGGAGGGGAGGACGAGACGAGCGGGAACGGAGCAACATACGGTGGGTGGGAAGGACAGGAGAGACGGGACGAGCACGGGAGGGACGGTGAGACCACACGTGGGACGGAGGTGTAGGGTCAGGGGACAGCGGAGGGGACACAGGAGGGGAACGAGGAGGAAGACGCGCCGGAGACGAGTCCAACGGCGGGAACATAGGACCGTAGACAAGAAGGTCAGCAGGCGGTGGGGGAGTCACCGGTGCGCGGTCCGGGGAGGGAAGGTCGAGCACGCGGAGAGCGAAGACCGGCGGCGACGGCTGCTGCGACGGCTGGGCCGGAACTTCCGGACCGGCAGAGGCAGGACGACCGTCGGTAGAACACTCAACAGCAGCACCCCCAGAACCAACACCCCCAGAGCGAGAACCCCCTCCAATACCAGCGGCACCCCCAGAAGCCGCAGAACGAACACCCTCCTCAACACCAGCACCCCCAGGGGCCAAGAGCGGCGGCGGCAGTGGCGGCGACGACTGCGGCGGCGGCGGCGACGACGGCGGCGGCTGCAGCAGGGTCGGCGACTGCGACAGTGGGAGCGGAGGCACCGGGAAAGGGGGACGCGGCAAGGACGGACCGGGGGTACCACCAGAGTCAGCAGACTCCTCAACGGGGACAACCGACGGGAGGGGAGCGACGTGAGAGACACTAGACGGGGCATGACGAGGCGGGAGAGGGGCAGGGGCTACCGGGGGAGAGGGAGCAAGGAACAGGGGGGGGGCAACCGGGAGACCTCGGTGAGGGAAGCAGCGGTAGAAGGAGACTGACTCGTCAAAGGTAACGTCACGAGAGTGGAGGAAGCGGTGAGACGGCGGGTGATAGAAAAGCAAGTCAGACGAGTCCAGGGGGAAACCGAGGAAGACACAGGGGACAGTGCGGGCAGTGAGCTTGTCCGTGCAAGAGGCACGAACGTGAGCAAGGCAGCCCCAGACGTGGAACGCAGACGCGTCACCGGGGGATCCGGTCCAAAGAAGGGTCGGCGAAACCTGCGGCCGCTGAGAGCGTGGCCACAGGTTAAGCTGGTGAGCAGCGTAGCGAACAGCGAACGGCCACAGAAAATGGGGGGCATCGGCATGAATCATGGAGGTGCGGGCGACCTCCATGACCAAGCCGATGCGGCGCTCAGCAACCCCATTCTGCTGTGGCGAGTCCGGCAAGGTGTACGACTGGGTGATGCCCTCCGCACGACAGAACTGTCCAAGCCGACCAGAGGCAAACTCGCCGCCCCGGTCGGAGTGGAGACACAACACGGGGAGACCGCGGTGGAGACGCGCAGCCACAACCCACGGGAGAAGAACGTCGGGCACGTCGGCCTTCCGCTCCAGGGGAAACACTGTGGTGTAGCGCGTGTAGTCGTCGACGAGCACAAGGAAGTAGTGCTCACCGCGCGGTCCGGGGACGGGGGCAGGGCCCCAAACGTCCAGGTACAGGGTGTGAAAGGGGGCAGTAGCAGGGCGCATCGAGGAGGAGTGAGGAGCACGGCGGAGCCGACCCTCGACGCAAGGCGTGCACGGTGGCGCAATCGAGGGAGGAAGGGCAGGGAGCGACGTGGGGAGACCTAAGACAAGACCGTGCTGTGACATGTGACGCAGACGCGGGAGAGCAGGGTGACCTAAGCGGTGGTGCCAGAGAAGGGACGGGTGAGTGAGGGACCGACACGAGCAAGCTGCAGCGACCTTGGAGGACGCACCAACCGGGGGGGAAGCGGTGTCTAGGGTAAACAGACCGGACACCGGGTCCAGGGGGAACGTCGCAAGGGGGGAACCTGAGACAGCCTCAGAACAGACAGCGAACCGCTCGTGCCCGGGGAACGTGGTGGTGACGCCGAGGTCCTGGAGACAGCCGACACCAACCAGGTTCCTCGAGAACGAGGGAACGTGGAGGCCAGTAAGGGAGCCCGAGGGAACTGCGAGACAGGGAAGGGACGTAGAACTGCGAGCGACGATAGGACCCGCAGAGGGGTCAGCGAGAGAGACAACAGCAGGCGCAGCAAGTGGCGTGAGCGTGGAACGGTCGCGGAAGAAGCAGGCAGAAGCATTGGAGTCGAGAGTGAAGGACAGCGACGCAGTGGCGGAGGCTGGGGACGGAGCCGGTGCAGCGACTAGACTAGGCAACCTAGGGAGTCCTACGCCTGACGCAGCAGGGGAGGCTAAGCTACACAATGGTGCAACACCTAAACTAGAGTACACAGGGTAATAAGATCCAGCAACACTAGAAGCGTCAGAATACAAAGCATGCAAAGCAGCACCTATCTTATCCATGTCTAACTCAAAGATCGGCACGCCCTAGCAGAGCAGGCTGTGCCAGTCGGGGAGGTCCGAGCCCGGGCCAAAGCGACGACGAAAGTGATCGTCGAGGCAGCGGAAACAGCGGGCGGTCGGGTGCGGGCGGCGGCACAAAGTGCCGCGAAGAGGCCCGGTCTGAAGCTGGTACTGGCAGGTGACAGCATCGGAGCCGCCGGTAGACGCCAAGCTGCGCGGGCCGCCACTACGGCCACTACCTCCAGAGGTGCCGGGCCAGCCAGGCGGGAGACGGGCCCACTGCTGCGGCGACTGCTGCTGGGACGGCGACTTCTGCTGGGGCGGCGGCTGCGGCTGGGACTGCTCCTGCTGCGGCTGGGGCTGCTGCTCCTGCCCACCAGTGGTAGTCCCCGCAGGCGGACTACCGTCACCACCACTACCGCCACCACCACCACCTGCGCCACCACCCCTACCTCCCTGGCGACCACGGCCACCGCGGCGCGAGCGCTGCTGCGGGTGGACTGCAGCAGCCGACTTTGTGAGAGGGGCCACCGAGGCGTCCGCAGCCGAAACATTAGTGAACGTACACTGGGAGGGGGCACAACCGTGAAGGATAGAGACTGCCGGCGCACCGCTCGACTGAGCGATAGTGCGCTGGCGTGTCTCGATCTCGGTGAGGGTATCGACAAAGGCGGTGAGGGTGAGGTCACCCGGGTGCTGGCTAAGGAAGTGATCGCGAGCACTAGCGAGGCGGTCTGGCAGGCGCATGGCGATAAAATAGAGCGTCATGCAGAAAGGGGGGGGGAGCGCAGTGAGCTGGGCAGCAATGCTGGCAGTGCAATAGCGGGTCTTTAGGGCACGCAGGTGAGTGGCAAAGTCTGCGACGGTAGGGAAGGCTGCAAGGTCTGGGAAAAGCATAGGGAAGAGCAGGCGACCAGCAGAAGCAGACGCGGGTGTGGAATAGCGAGCAATAACAGAGTCTAAGTAAGTCTTGGCTGTCTCAATAGTAGCAAAGCGCGAGCGCTCGGAGATAGGGAGGGCGTGGCTAATAGCAACCTGAGCGACTGCATCGCGGGAGTCCCAGACCGCTCGGGCAAGCGCAGCAGTAGAG